TTTCCATTTTCCCTAGAAAATGGAACATATCAAACAGACCATTTATGTTATATGATCAATTCTTTAGTTGCATGGCCAAGTTTGAGATAAATTTAGTCACACGTGTCTAAGTACATAAACGGAGGACGGTGATAGTTCATTTCTTTGAATAAAGAAATAGTTTGAAGAAATGGACTCAGCCTAAACGAGTGGTCGTGACTAACGTCGAACTATGCACATGGTTTTGATATCTTTTCCAAGGTCGAGTTGAAAAATATTGACCCAAATTAAGTAATCTTTAATATAGTCGAGACCACTCAATTAGTCAAGTTAGATAAAAAGAAATGAACCTACCTTTGTTCATATCGATGAAGACGGAGTTAGGCAATCAACCCATACAATAAATGAGCTCAATTTAGACAAGCCATATTCAGAAGATACTATCACAAAAATATACTTACTTTCCTTGTTCGTATGTTTCAAATTATAAATCATTTTCCTTGTTGAAAGTATATTTGATTTTTTAGTTTTCTAATATTCCCTAATTTAATATGACATGTTATCAACAAATATGAATTAATCATATTAATCATATTTATCAACAATGTACCGGAATATTAGGAAAAAGTTTAAGAAAAACTTATTTAAACAATGTAGGGGTGTATTTAAACAATTATTCAATTTATTTTTTAATCATATTAAATATTATGATTGAGGAAGTATTAATTATAATTGGAGACCCTCTCTCCTACCAAGTTAATCAACAATATTCTAGATCTATTAAATCATTAATGGATTGTGTTTGGATTTGATAGAGGGATTTTAAAAGATTTTAATACATATAGATGTTAAATTAACTTAAATTAAGGATTGTGATTATATATCAATTTTATTTACTAATTCATTGGTAGAAGGAAATATCCCATTATAATTATATTAGACATAGTCCATCATCTAATGACTTGCCGGCCTCTCTAAACTAATAATAAAATTTGACGTTTCGAAGAACCATCGGAAAAATGTGTACCGTATAAGCTTAAACGATGAAAAAAACGTAAATAAAGTCATTTTTCCTCTCATGTATAATTAATAGTCATATTTGGTACGTTAGATTACATATGGCTAAAAGT